GCCGAGCAGGGAGCCCGATGTGGGACTCGATCCCAGGACCCTGGGATCATGACCTGAGCCGAAGGCAGACGCTTAACGACTGAGCCACCCAGGCGCCCATATTCTTAAAAATCTTGTTTGCTACCCAGACTGCAGAGAAATTGTTCTTGGAACAAGGCTGCAGTAGTTTAGGATTTGGTGTTGGACGAATCAAAACCCATTTCCTGCTTTTCTCCAAAGTGCTGCACGACTTTTGACAAATGACTTGCCCTTCCCAATTCTCAGATTCAGTAACATGGAGAGAACATCAAGTCACTGGGCTGTCGTGGGGATTGGAGCAGCTCATACCCACGGCACTTCACGGCACACACTGAACCGGAAATCTATGAATGCCAACTCATTTCTGCAGCAGGACACACTTTTCTTTTTGCTGTTCCAGGGTGGCACAAGGATGGGGGTGGAGAGGAGGCAGAAGAGTCCGATGAGGACCCAGAGGAGGGGACTGGGCTGGAGTGAGAAACATGAGAAACACGAGAGGTAAAGGGTTTGAGCAGAAAGATGAGTTAAGTTTTGCATCCTACTGGGCTCCGTGTATGTGTTAAACAGATTTTTCTCTTTAGAGATGAACTGCAGCTCCATGGCTTATGAGGTAACAGGGGATGAAGAATGACTTGCCTTATTAACATGCATGGATGGGAACCTCCTGTGAAGAGCTCCAAGTTAGCGGTACTCAGAGAGGGTGGTCCAGATACCCTTACGACCGTGAGCATTGAGTCAGGCATGGAATTGTTGAATCGATATATTGTACACCTGTAACAGCACACCGTATGTTAACTATACTTCAGTGAGAAACACGGGGAGTTAAGAAACTGTTAGTGGAATGTAAATTGCGGTAAGTACAGAAAGTAAGAGTCCGTGTTTAGAATCTGTGATTGTGACTGACAGAGTAGTTTTATGCCCAATGAATCTAATAATGAGCAGGAATGTATATTTTTGTATCTATTTGTTTTTTTCCACTTCCCTAGGAATTCATTTTTTTTTTTTCCATTTGAGAGTAGCCATTTATTAACTGACCAGATTACAAAAATAATCATGGTAGATACCTTAGTTCATCCTTCTAATAAGCCTATTGATCTGGTCTTCCCTGTTACCAGCATCTCCACCTTCTACAAAATGGGTGGTCTTTTTCTTCATTCCCCCTCGTGGAGAAGATAATTTGAAGGGCCATAAAAAGTTGTTTGCTTCTTTGAGACGTTTTCCAACAGTATAGATCTCGTGAATCAGATCCTCCATGCAGATGATGCCATATTTACCAAGAGATCGGGCAATGTATTATCTGTCAGGGCAATTCGCTTCTTGTTGATTTTGCCATAACCACGCTTGTAGATCAATTCATTCACCAACTTCAGGTTTGGGTACCCCCATGCTATATAAGGTTCCACAATCCTTAGCATGTTAAATGAAGCCTTGTTGAGCTTAACAAAGGTGCCATTGAAGATCTGGCGAAGGCGAAGAAGCTGCAACACCTTTCGAACCTTTGGGCTCACACCATTGATACCTCTGATCCTAATGACAAATGCCAATTTGGGTTCCGCAGGTACATAGAAGTTGCCAGCTTTTCTTGCCATCCTTGCCATTCGAATCTCAGTTCTGTACATCTGCCTATATTCCTTGTGGTAATGCTTAGCTTTTTCATAGATAAGCTTCCTTCTTGCCTTTCGAAGCATCTTCTGAGCAAACTTCTTCCTCAGACGCTTGATCTTCAACTCTGCGAAATTCCTTCGTTTCTTCTTAAGGGTTTCTGGCACAGCAGGAACCTTCTTTTTCTTCTCTTCTGCACCCTCCATGGTTCCAGCCGGAAAAAGAGGAAGTCCAGGAATTCATTTTTTTAAATTAACTTGTTTTCCTTAGTAATTCATCTTCGTCTTCACAAAACTAGAGGCCCACAATAGTTGAAAATTTTTTTTTTAATAGTTGAAAATTTAAAAAACTTGTCTCTCACCACTGATCCTTTGAAAATTACTCTAGAGAAGAATTCTAACTTTTCTACTGTCCTGAAGAAAGTCATTATTCCACTCCTGAATGCTCTGAAGGACTAACATTTGAAGGAACTCTTAGTCTGAACCTTTGTTCCTAAGAACAGGCCAAACTAATAGTTTGAAACAATTCTGGAATCTTTATTACTTGTAACATTAAGCTTATATGAGTACAAGAAAGAATTTTGAAGAATTTTCTCAAATATAGGAAAAAATATGAACAGCAAGGAAGGTGAGGCAATTGAAAAAAATCCACCTTGTAAAATATACATCTTTATGAGGTAGATCAATATATATTGATACAGAGAGGCCCAAGATATGGTAGGTGAAAAAAACAAGTTGTAAACTGTCCTTGCAATATGATGCTGAATTTTTAAAACATTACTGTATGCATAGAAGAAAATGTGAACTAATAGAAAATAAATGAACAATTCTTACATCTGGTAACATTAGGCTTCCAGGCATAATTATGTTCTTATGTTATTTATTTGCTTTGTGTTTGAATTTAAATTTTTTTTAATTTAAAATTTTTATCAGGAAAATATGACATCTTGTAATAAGAAACAGATCAATGGTTTATGTTGAATAATTTACGTTTGCCATGCTTTGGTTATTAATAAACATACCAAACATGTGGTAGAGAGAGGTTTTCCTAAAAAGACAGGGGAAAAAAAATCAAACAGCAGGCCCACTGTGCTTCCATTTCTGTACCTTCTTTAACCATTTGGGAGCCAAGTTCCATGCATTCTTTCAAAGTGTACTTGCAATTCTGAGCATTCCCTTTCTTAAACAGAAGAAGGTTATTTCCATCTGAGATACTTGCACAGAAATATTAAGGTCTTCCTACATTTCATTTCCCATTCCCTTTCCCCATTGTGCAGGATAAATAGATGTCAGATGAAACATTTTCTTGAATTTAGAAGACCTGTTTGCCAGTCGGCAAAACTAGGATGGATGACTTGTTACAAATAAACAACATTCGCAAGATTAGGAAGCCTAAAAATTCACATCTGTCATCCTCAGTGAGGCAATAAACTACCGTATTTCATCAATTCTAAGACAACTTTATTGTAGGACACAGCATTATTTTATGTAGCACTAAGAAAGAAAAAAACACTGCCAGTTCATTGAGAGCATGCCATCCATCAAAAGATGCATCCTGATTTCAAAGATGTAAATATGAAAAAATGTGCATCTTGGCATCAATAAAATATGCTAATACTAGAACAAAAAATCCGCAATCTTGTCCAACATGATTACTTGAAGTAGAGCACTTTAAACTGCTTTGTCTGAACCCTGAATGTAATGGAAGAATACGTAAACATTTTCAGTAGCACACCTCAGTTTATTGACCTATGTAAAAAAATAATAGGTCTTAAAAAGTCAGAACAGTAAAAGAATATGCAAAAGGGTATTTCTGTTTCTAGAAGGCTATACAAGTATGCAAAAAGGAATAACTTATTATTTTTTGCATGTCTTCTTTTTTGTTCCAAATTTTTCTCCCAAACCTCATATTTAATGATACAAATGACTAAGGACCAGTTTAACAAAGCATTTTTATGTATATATTACATGCTTTGGAATATAGATAGAAAATGTTCCCAAAAAGTTGTTCAGAAACTTCTCTATTCACAATATGAACATGAAACCTGTATAAAAGGGGAGGAAGGGAGCACCTTTTATGGACTATTGAAGCAGAGTGAAGATGACAAAAAAGAGCAATCTGGAATATGGAAATATTTGTTTTTGTTTTTTTTAAAAACACTACAATAAACCATAGCTAATTAGTTCTTCCGAGTAAAGTATGAGGTAGTTTTAGCCTCATAATTAAATCTACTGCAGCTTGGAGTTTTTTTGTTTTTGTTTTTGTTTGTTTTGTTTTTTAATGATTAATCTTGTTTTTTGTCATTTGGTGACTTAGTACCCCCCGTGGAATCTGGACAATATGCTTACTTTTCTAATGTTCACCATTTTAAGGCACGCAATTCATTGAAAATGCTGTGGCTTTTGTTTTTTCATTTCATTTTGTTTTGGGTTCTTTCTGTATGACCTTAAAATACTTTTTCAAACTCTTGGTTAGAAAAACTTTCCATATCAGGTCTGCCATTTCAAATGGCAGCCAAATTGGAGAGTTACCAGCCTGAATAATCACCTATCAGGCCATTGGTATAGAAAGAAAAAAGGAGCCCAATAATATTGTACCTTAGAACATTCTCCAAGCAGAGTTTGTCAATTATTCAGTGGGCTGCTTTGTTTTCCCCAATCTGCTACCATAAAGTTATATTACAGGATGCTAAGTCTTTCCAGAACCCATTTTACGGTGCTTATGAAAACCATCACTCTTTATAATATCCTAAAAACATTTACACTCATTCAGAACTTCATGAAAATCCAGCTTCTCTTCAAGTAATTTTCCAATACTGTCTAAATTGTTCATGTCTGGGTAGAGATAGCCAAGTTATTCTTCACCGGCTCACAAACCCAAACTTTCTGAAGGTGATTAATGACTAAGGAGCTTCTGTTTCCCTTTCCTCATCATTCTGGATTGTGCTCTGAAATTTCCCGTCCTTCTTTCCTGTTGGGGACCCTGAACGCACTTTTCACAGTTTTGCGGTTTGCCTTCAACAACTTTTATTCCCTTAAAAAGTGCTTGCTAATGATAAACGCTGAGTCCTTTCGTGGCCACGGCTCCACCTTGCTCTGTCACGTGAGTGCCCAGAGTCGGAAGGGCAAGTCGTTCAGGGTCTCTCCGACCTTGGATGCCTTTAGCTTTCTAAAGCCGGATAGCTTTCTGGGAAGACGAACACATTTTGCAAGGCACACTAGTGTGAGAATGCAGTGCTTGGTCAAGAGGTCCAACTGCAGTTCAGACTAATGTTCCAGGCTTTGAATCTTCATGCCAAAAGAGCTTCTGCTCCCTGCTCTCCAGGCTGTCTTCCAACCGGCTTCCATCTGTGCTGTCCAGTTGACTGATCTCTGGATACTGTCTATTAAAGGAAACCAGGAGAGTTATTACTTGTGGTTGTTTTTATTACCAGAGTACAAAGATGACTCTACTCAAAGAATTAGTAGAAAGCACTGTCAAGGCAAAGGATGATGGTGTGTTCTTTCATTGTCCCACTGGCGAATTGTTGAAAAGGCCCATGCAAGGTGTACTTAATTCTCTAGGGAGATATTCCTTTGTCTCACTTATATTTACCATTGATTAGGATCCAGATTGTGGTAAGTTACATGTTAACTTGTAGGTTTTTTGTCTGGAAGAAATACAAATAACTTTGGTCTACTATAAAAAGATTACGGTTATAGTTTTATTGCCCTGTAGGCCATTAACTGGTTTTTTAATCTTATTTAGTAATCTTATTCCAGCCTTTTATCTTTCAGTGTGTTCAATTCAGTCTTTTGAATTCTCTTGGAAGCAGCTTTACCATTCTGTTAGTTCTCTCATTAATGAGTTAAACAAATCTTTGACACATGCCTATTTTCTCTTTGTGTGAGAGTCATATTTTTAACTTTTTAAAAAGTATTTTTGAGAGCCACATTTTAAGTATTCTTCAAATTAAGGGACTATACTAGATGCTTTCCTCAGGGACAAAGGAATATATTTAGTGGCAGGCAGGGGCACCCAGGGACACATCTTACATCCCTAGGGCCTATGGGTCGAACATAAATTGGAGACAACACCACATTCAAAAATCATAGGCATACTTGGATGGTATATCCAAAGGAAGGCATCCTATAACACAAAACATTCCAACAGGCAAAACCTCATTCCTGCAACAGTCATCTAGAATAGGTTAGATAGTTAGTAGGTTTCTTTTTATTTTACATTTCTTTAGTCAAGATGGTTAAAAAGTCACCGGAAGGAGAGCTGTGGAAAGAAATACTATGTGAAACTAGGTATTTAGTGTTCTCATCTAATATAAACACAAAGTCAGATTTCCATAGCTTCACACATCAGCCAGAACAAGCAAAACTCCTGCTATGAGGCAAGATGCAGCAGATGGATCCACGGGCTGTACTTACTACAGCTGGCTACACTGAGCAAAAGAGAACTGAAAACTGATCTCATTTCGGGAGACACAACCATTCTCCGCGACAGAAGCCCTCCGTGTTGCCTAGTAGAGGTAGAGTTAGATAAGGAAGAGGATGGGAAATGGAAAACAGGAAGGCAAGGGGAAAAAGTTATTTGAAAGCACAGTTTGCAGCACACACAGAGCCAAGAATCTGAGTGCATTATATACTAGGGACCATAAGAGACGTTGACATTTATGATTTTAGAAAGTCTACGCCACTGACAATTCTACCACAGCATACTTGGAAACAAAGTTTTATTGGTAAAAATGTGTAGCTTTCTGTAAATGTTAAGAGCCAGACACTCCGGGGGAAAGGATCTTGAAATACTATGTACTTCATTTGTTTAAAAAATTACTCAAATCTTGAACTTCAGGGCAGATCTAAAGGTTTTCTTTTTATCTTTATCTTGAAACCTAATTTCTCTCTTATTTTAAAAATTACGTTTTCATCAAAAATAACAATTTTACAGCAAATTTCTAAAACTTAATGGATGGCTGTTATGATACTTGCTTTGTTAGTAGGTCAAGTTAAGTTGATCACTTGGAGGTATAATAAAAAAAAAAATCCTAAATAGACAAATAAATGGAAATAAGCACACCCATACCTCTGTTGCTGGGAGGGTAAATTGGCAAATCTTTCTGGAAAGCAAGGGCTTAAAAAAATTCACTTTTCAATTTATTCCATTAATTCTACTTATTGGAATGTATCCTAAGGCAATAATCTGGAATTCAGACAAATATTCTGCACAAAGACATTAACAGCCACATTACAATAAAAAAGAGAGAAAAATCTAAAAACCATTCAAATTCAAAATATGGGAACTGTTAAATAAAGTATGGTATATTTATTGAGTGGAATATCATGTGGATCACATAAAATAAGGTTTAAGGAGTTTTTAAAAATATGGGAACATGTTTATATTGTGATATTAAGTAAAACACTGGGATGCAGAAGTTCATAGACAATGAAAGGTATAAAACTGCACATAAGGGTATCATTACCACCATGTTAAAAATGGACACTGGAAAATGGGGGAATGTGTCAAAATGCTAACAGCTACCACCTCTAGATGGTAGAATTATGGGTAAATGATTTCCTACTTATTTATCCCTTTATTATTTTCCTAATTTTCCACAATGAGCTCATATGATGTGCGTGTGAGCACACACAATAGGGATCTTTAAATAGTTTCTAATTTCCTGTAGATTACCCCACCTCTGACATCAGACTCCACGTCAAGCCATCTTGGGCTGGCTCTCTGAGATAGACAGGCACACTTGGTAAAAACAGACTTTCTCTAAAAATGTTCAATACTTCCTGAGTTCAGTGAAAGTAGTGTTAAGGATTTTCAAACTGTCTCATGCGCTTTTATATTATCTCTCATGCAGTCCATGAAAAGGAAAGTAAAAGTGTACAAGTGGGGAAAACTATTTGCAAATGAATTATACAAAACGATGAGAACTGACTTAAAAAAGTACAGCTCCAATTTTGGGCCAAAGCCATTTTAGTTCTTGCTCATAACTCATTTGCAAGCATTATTTACAGAAACCCAAGCTATCTGAAGTCCCCTGAGGTATATTTTCACTAAAATCCTATTTTGAGCACACCCTTTGTTGAGTTGAGACAATCGGCCTAATAGTTCAAGCCAAGAAAAACTCTCCTTGAACAAGGAGAAGAAAAATAAGGCTTTGGGGTCGAATACCTCCAATTCGTTTGTAACACTGAGTACTTTATTAAGAAATTATGATTTCACTCATATGTGGAATTTAAGAAACAAAACAGATGAACAATGGAAGGGAAAAAAGAGAGAGAGAGAAAAGCAAACCATAAGAGACTCTTAACTATAGAGAACAAACTGAGGGTTGATGGAGGTTAATCAACTAGAATTGAAATAAAAAATTGAAGTAAAAAAAAGAAAAGAAATTTAACCTCTCAAACTCACCACGCTAGACACTTTGATAAGTTATTGTCTGTGTAAGTCTCCCTATGCCTGAAGCAATTTGACCTAGAGCAAAATTAAATAAAAACAAACAGAAAATGCTCTATTTCTTGGCACGATGGGTGTGAATTATATCCTGTGAAAAGTGATAGGGAGAAATGACCTCTTCATACTTAACTCCTCTTGCATATACAAAGAAGTGAGAAACTCCTCTCCTCTTGCATATACAAAGAAGTAATGCGGAGTTAGCCATCTTTTTTTAAAATCACATTTTAACGGATTGTTCTTGTATGTTTCCTCCTAATGTTTACAAAGAACCACGATTACAAATAGGACAACTGTCTGTGTCTGTAGCTTCTTAAGGAACACAGGATCAGACACAAAAAGGCAGCAAATGTTCACTGAAATCAAGCCCACCAACTGCCTACGAGGAATTTTGATGTGAACAGCCTTTTCTGGAGCAGAGATATTTTTCCTCCAAGGTTCCAGGAGAGTCATAAATGGATATATCAGTAATACCATTTAAAGTACTGCAATTAAAAAAAACCCTGCCAGACACAGAATTTAAGACCTTACAGAAGACGAGGAACAGAGTCAAATTCGAACAATCTAGATTAGGAGTCAACAAACCTTTTCTTAAAAAGGCCAGATATTTTTGGCTTTGTTGGCCACGAGGGCTCTGTCGCTACTCCACTCTGCCCTCATGGTGCAAAAACAGCCATAGATAAAATGTACGTGAATGAACATGGCCGTTTTCCCATAAAATTTAATTTACAAAAACAGGTGGCAGCTGGTTTGGGCCCCACAGGCTATAGTCTGATGATCCTTGAGCAGTCATAAAAAAAAAAAAAAAAAAAAAATGAATTCCTCAATTGTTCTGACCAGGAACAGGCTACTAGAATTTTGGAGCATTGCTTTCTCACCTTCCTGGGGAGGGCAAAGGATTATAGATGTTGCCGTAGCAGCTGGTGTAGGAAGAATGTGCTGGGGTCTCGTAGTCAGATAGCCCTACAGCTATCTGGGTCCTCCAGTTTCCAGAAGTGTTTGTAGAAGATACTAGAAGTAAAAATGGAAAGAGACAAAATTAGTGGGAATATTCAAAGCAAAGACTGTTTAGGCCATTTAAATGTACATTATAATCATCTATGTGCAGAGATTAAGAGCCAGTGTTTATAATCAATAGAGTTCCTAATCCAATTTAGTCACCTACTGGCCATGTGACCTCGGGCAAATAGTTTATTCTCTTTAAGTCTCAGTTTCTTCACCTGTAAAGTGGGGATAATAATGCAAATATATCCTGTATAGGGATGATACCAGGATTGAGTAAGTTATATATGAGAATGTCTAGCACTGTGCCTGGTATAAAGAAAGCACCCCCAAAATGATAACTATTGATATTATTAATGGGAATAAAGTTAACTGAAAGGCATGCTATAAAAAATAACCTAAAAGACAAGTAGAAAAAACATTCTCATATATGGAGAGAGTCTCTCCATTCTGGCTAGGTGGCTAGATAGATAAGGCTTTATTTGTAAAGATAAGATGACCAGTTTGAGTTTCTTGGGGGCCTTTGGAGGAAAAGCACTCTGTAAGTTGCCCTGTTGGGTCACGACTTGCTCCTCGGCCCAAGGCAACGGTCAGCCACTAGCAGGATCAACGCATACTTTTTGCCTTAAAAGAAAAAGTGTGTGTGTGGGAAGGGGCGGGAGGGTAACTAGTACAGGAGGGAATTAGTTCTACTGAGGGACTGAACTGGAACAAGACAAGGGCACCATTTGGGAGCAAAGCCCAGGGAATGTCTCACTGTAGGGCGTTTGTTGTCCTCTCTCTAAAACCAGTCCTGCTCCATGCCCAGGAAGCACAAGGGGACCACAACACCCAGCTGGTGGTCCAAGGCCAGCACCGCTCAAGGATCCTTCCAGCTCCCCTCCATTTCCTGTTTTTGGCAGCCACCTTCCTTATCTTCTTTCTCACACCCACCAAGCCCTGGTGACCAGCGTATGGCGGACGCCTTTCAAAACTCATCTGTGGCCCTGGATGCCATGAGGTTCTGACTCAAAGATGTAATTCTCTCACTTCGAGTTCCTAAGAATGTTTCATAACTCTGAGTCAGGGGCTGTAAAGCATGGTGGTTAAGGTGTCAAGCACTTACTAGCTCTGGGGCTTGGCCAGGGTCATTTCAACTCTCTAAACCAGAACTGCCTCGGCTGCAAGATGAGGATAGTAATAATAGACCTAACAACAGTGCTCACAGTACCCAACTGTTTGCACACATTAGATGGGATGGTGCACACGAAGCACCAAGCATGCGGCGTGGCCCAGGGGAAGCTGCCAAGAGATGGTGGCTGTCATTACTACTAAAACGGAGTCACCAAGAGTCTTTAGATGGCTAGAAGGAGCTACAAGACCCCTGACTACTTTGGCAAATAACAGGAAACTCTCCATGATGCATGCCTGTTGTAATACATTTTTGTAGCTATAAAAGGTAGACAGGAATGAGCTCTAATTCCATCCCTTTAATTCTTTAACATGGATGGAATGCCTTTTGGTCTGTGGGGCCAAATCCTACGGCTACCAGCCAGGCTCCTACTGGGTGTGAATCGAGAAGCACTCACTCCATTCTTACCTTTGCCCCAGGCACCGAGCCAACCGGCAGTAATGCTGTGGTTTTGGAAGGATGCCTGCTCCTCTCCAGCCTCCCTGCTTAAAAAGGCATCACCCCAGCCCTGGGCCCTGATGACCATCCTTATGCATCTCAGCCCTCCTTGTTTGTTCTTTCTTTCTAACACCCTCTCCATGTTTGTTTTTGGAAAGATTCTCATGCAGTGCCCTGAACGTTAGGGGGAAGAAAGGCGTTCTCTAGAGATGAGCCATAAATAACCAGGAGTAAGGACAGGAGCCTTTTTGTATGGTAGATGTGGTAATAAGTGGGAAAGCCCTAGTGGAAGTCCAAAGTCCTACACAAACAGAAGAGACCGTACACCCAAATAGAAATCTCCATGGAAATGCCTCTGGTCAACAAGCTTAGGATACTTTTAAAGGCACAGTTTTCACCAACTATTACAAGGTGATTCAGGAATCCCTGTGCTGTGTCCTACTAAGGGGTCATGCCTGAAAGAGGGGCAAGAACATAGGACCTCAGGTTTCCACGTAGTTCAAGAACTCATTCGTTTTAGAGCCTCGAAATTGCTTAATTTGCATACATTCCTCTGGCTGCTGACTAGACCGTGAGCTCCTCAAGGCCAAAACTGGGTCAACCCTGGCTCCTCAGCATCTGGGACATGCCTGCTTGTTTGTTGAATCAATGTAACCAGAGACAGATATTCCTCTTTCCCCTCATTTCTCTACTCAGCGAGGGGTAAGCAGTAAGTACTCCATGGATTTTAGTGGAGTGAGGGGCCCAAGTCAATGCATGAGGGAACATCTCTAACCAAAATTATCTTTGAAAATCCCTTCCATCAACCCTAAAGCAGAGTATATATGATTACTGAATTGAGTCAAGGCACGTGAAGCACGTAGAACAGTGCCAGGAACAGGGCTTACAAATTACTGGCTCGCATCAGAATTACTAAGAGCCTCACACAGCTACCCGAACATTCAAAACAAACTGCCTTTAGAAGATCAAGTTCCTGCTGGTGAACAGGGAAGGATGCATAATCATAATGCTTTCTGCTCACCTGACGGATTTACTCTATTTTTTTTAAATATATCAAACATCAGTGACCTGAACACTTTAATGACATGGGAAAAAGACAGAATATTTGAAAGCCCCTCTTTAAAAAAAAAAAAAAAAAGGGCGCCTGGGTGGCTCAGTTGGTTAAGCGACTGCCTTCGGCTCAGGTCATGATCCCGGAGTCCCGGGATCGAGTCCCGC